GCTAGACTGACAAACCTCAAAGGGAATGGAGCTGGGGGGTGGGAAGAAATAAACCAATGAACTTATATGCATAACCAATGGACACAGACAACAGTGTGGGAAAAGGCAGGAGGGATGCAGAAGGGGGAGGAGGGCATCAATGGGGGAAAAATGAGGAACATCTGTAATACATTCAACAATAAAGATAAATAAAAAATAAAAATAAATAATATATGCACCCCTATATTCACAGCAATGCCATTCACAACAGCTAAGATCTGGAAACAGCCCAAGTGTCCATCAGTAGATGAGTGGATAGAAAGCTGTGGTACATTTACACAATGGAATACTATGCAACTGTAAGGAAGAAAGATCTCTTACCTTTTGAAACAACATGGTGGGACCTGGAGAGTATAAAGCTGAGTGAAATAAGCTAATCAGAGAAAGACAAGTACCACATGATCTCACTTATTTATGGAACATCATGAACTAAATAATCTGTCGATCAAAAGAGATCCAGAGTCATGGAAGTAAGGAACAGATTAACAAACCTCAGAGGGATGGGGGGTGAGAGGGGTGGGAAGAAATAAACCAAAGAACTTACATGCGTATATGCACAACCAATCGACACAGACATTAGGTTGGGGAAAGCAGGAGGGTCTGTGAGCAGGGAGGAGGGCGTCAATGGAGGGGGAAAGAGGGGCATGTGTAATACTTTCAACAATAAAAATAAATAAAAATTCTAGAAGAAAACTTAGGCAGTAAAATCTCGGACATTTCTCATAGCAATATTTTTTCTGATATATCTTCTCAGGCAAGGGAAACAAAAGAAAAAAATAAATGGGACTACATCAAACCAAAAAGTTTTTGCACAGCAAAGGAAACCATCAACAAAATGAAAAAACAACCTACTGAATGGGAAAACATATTTGTCAATGATACATCTGATAAGGATTTAATATCCAAAATTTATAAAACTCAATGCCAAAAAAGCACACAATCCAACTAAAAATAGGCAAAGGACCTGAATAGACACTTCTCCAAAGAGGACATACAGATGGCCAATAGACATATGAAGAGATGCTTAATGTCACTAACCATCAGAAAAATGCAAATTAAAACCACAATGAGATATCAATTCACACCTGTCAGAATGGCTATCATCCATAAATCAACAAACAAGTGTTGGCGAGGATGTGGAGAAAAAGAACCCTTGTGCACTGTTGGTGGGAATGCAGACTGGTGCAGCCACTGTGGAAATCAGTATGGAGTTACCTCAAAAAATTAAAAATGGTACTGCCGTATGACCCAGCAATTCCACTTCTGGAAATATATTTGAAGAAACCTGAAACATTCATTTGAAAAAAACATAGGCACCCCTATGTCCTTTCCAGCATTATTTGTAATAGCCAAGATTTGGAAGCAACCCAAGTGTTCAGTAGATGAGTGGATAAAAAAAACTGTGGTACATTTACACAATGGAATACTACTCATCTGTTAAAAAGAAAGAAGGAAAGCTTACTCTTTGCTACAGCATGGATGGACCTGGAGAGCATTATGCTAAGTGAAATGAGCCAGTCAGAGAAAGACAAGTACCATATGATTTCACTCATATATGGAGTCTAATGAACAAAATAAAGTAACAAGCAAAATAGAAACAGACTCATAGATAGAGAACAGACTAACAGCTGTCAGAGGGGAGGGGGGCTGGATGAAAATGGTAAAGGGATTAAGTCAAAAAGAACCACCAAAAACTCACAGACACAGACAATAGTCTGATGATTACCAGAGGGAGAGGGGTATGGGGGGGTAGAATAGGGTATAGGGGGATAAATGGTGATAGAAGGAGACTTGACTTTGGGTGGTGAACACACAATGCAATACACAGATGATGTATTACAGAACTGCACACTTGAAACCTATATAATTTTATTAACCAACGCCATCCCAGTAACCCCATTAAAATCCCAGCCTGGAGCAGACAGAGGCGAAGGGAGAGATAAAGGGCTAGGGAAGAGGTGTGGACCTGGAGGAAGGAGGCCAAAGATAGGGAGACAGCGGGAATGTGAGGGGATGTGAGTCAAGGATGGCAGATGTGGCAGATGGGCCAAGATAAGGGCCCAGAAGAAACAAACAAACAATTAAGGGCAATAAAATGAGGAGCCAGCAGAAGTGGGGTCAAGACTGTGGCTGAAATGAGCCCCGATTAGGATGAATGCCTAGTCACCTCCACATCTGTCACAATGCCGAGGGGCAGCTCAGAGCAGAGACAGGAAACAGCCCTCCATGAATTTGACCTCAGCTAGAAAGAATATGGGAACTTTCATCTGCCTATGCACATGCGCATGCACGGGGACCCCTGTCTTCAGAGACCCTCAGCCTGGGAGATGAGGTGGAGCATGGCATACCTCAGGAAAAGTACAAAGGGTCTCCTGCAGTTCCCATGCAGAGACTGCTACCTAGGGGGTAGGAAAGATTTGAAGGAGTAGGTGGTGTTATACTGGGATCTTGAAAAATGGATAAAATTTGGGCATTTGGGAGATAAAGTGAAGATCTTAATGTTTTTCACCAATCTCTCTCCTGTCATAAACACCCAAAGACTGCCTGGCAGACTGCTAAACAGAAAGGAGTCCTGGAGACAAAGACCATCCCACAAATGCCCTGAGTGGACAGTCACCAAAGACAGTACGGGTCTCTCTGCCCTGGTTTATACCATAACAACTACAGTTCAGAGCATCAACCACTACCTCTTAGACCATCACAGATCAATACCACCACCCCCCCCTCCGACACACACATATGTGGCTAAAAGAAATTGGCTTTGGGATATGTAACATCCCAAGGAAGACACTGGGCAAGTGATTAATTCTAATTTCTATCTGACATCACACTATGGGTAATGCTAAGTCTACACACGTGTACCATGTTCTACCAAGACACATCATAAGATCCCGATTCATGTAAAACATTTCTAATCTCATTTAATTGCTATGTACTCCTATGAAACATGACTTATTTTTTCTTTCATTTAAAAAACAATTTTTTCCTTTATTGATTTTACAGAGAGAAGAAATGAGAGGGAGAGAGAGATAGAAACATTGATGAGAAAGAACACTGATTGGCCGCCTCCTGCATGGCCCCCACTGGGGATTTGGCCCATAACCTGGGCATGTGCCCTGACCGGGAATTGAACTGGGCCCTCTCAATTCATGGGATGACACTCAATCCACTGAGCCACACCGGCCAGACCATGATTTATTTTTTAATTGATACATAAACACATTTTTAGAAATGTATTCATAACCTGTTACCAAATCACTAATGAACCAACATTAAATTTCTGGATTTATTTCTTGTCAAGAAACCTCTGCTCTCATTTTTTAATTAGTTTGCCTTTGCTCTCACTAAAGTACCTGGCCCGGGAGAGCCCCCCATTTCCTGGGGTGGAGGCCTCACAGAGCAGCGAAGGGAAAAGGAGTCCAGAGCAAGTGCCCAGAGGCGGGTCTTCGCGAACAGGTGCAGGCCGAGCAGGCACGTGCTCCCCGTGAAGCCTAACGCTGCTGCCCAGGCATGCTCTGCACGTACAATAGAGCAAGCTCACCTTAAAACCTCCAGGTTAGTTTCTTCTGAAATTGAGGCTCAGAGACCGTTGTCGTATCTCACAAGTGACCAGTGAGACTGTCTACTTGAGCCTTCAAAGAACGGTTTGTCGCCCCGGCCAGTTTGGCTCAGCGGTTAGAGCATTGGCCTGCGATCCAGAGAGACCCAGGTTCAGTTCCCGCTAAGGGCATGTACCTCGGTTGCAGTTTGTCCCCGGCCCTGGTTGGTCGTGCGGGTGGCAGCCACTCGATGTGTCCCTTTCACATCGATGTTTCTCTCTCTCTCTCTCTTCCTCTCTTTCCCTCCCACTCTATCTGAACAAAAAATGGAAAAGTGTCCTCGGGTGAGGATAAAAAAAATAAAAATAAAAAAAGAACGGTTTGTCTTTCATACTCCCACTTTCATTTAGAACTCCCCGCACACAAGTGTGTTTGCCATCAGACCTAAATAACCTTCTGGACTGGGTTTCTGGAGTGTATGACAGCAGCTCCTAAGTCAGTGCTGCTTTTACCTGAGCCTTTAAGAAATCATAAGTCCTGGCCCTAGTCCTAGCCAGTGTGGCTCAGTAGATTGGAACGTCATCCTGTGCACCAAGGGTTGGCAGGTTCGATTCCTCATTGGGGCACATACTCAGGTTACAGATTCAATCCCCAGTCAGGGTGTGCGTGGGTGACAGCTGATCAATGTTTCTCTCAAAAAAAAAAAAAAAAAAAAAATCAGTAAAATAAATAAATAAAAGAAATCACAAATCCTAGACTAAGCCTAGTAGCCTAAACTTCCAATCATCCTATCTGTTCAAATTACAGAGGAGGGGCAGCCAAGACAAGAACTCTACTCCTTATGTCTGCAATTCTGATCACAAGACTGTACCCAAGTCTTACAGGGACAGATGTCCTGTGGAGAAATAAATAGGGTTAAAAAAATGACAAGTGCATGTGCCCACTGGGAAAAGAAGCCTTTTGAGAGGGCCTAGTTCAATAATGGAAGCATCCAGGTCAGCAGCTGTAGCTAAGAATCTCTCTAAGCAGGCCAACTACAGTCCACTTCGCACTGTGACTTTCACAGCTTCACTCTATCGCGTTTTTTTCAAATATGTTCACATTAAAAAGTCGATCGAGACAGTGAAAACGATACAGCGTGCGCTCGGTTGTCTGAGTCAATTATACAACCCTGTATTACAATTACAATTAAATTAAAATTACAGTACGTGTGGACTGTAGGCCTATGTATTCGAGCACCCCAGGAATCCTTCAACACCAGGTGCAACCGCTAGAGTCTGGAACAAATTAACCGCGATAGACGAGGGACGACTGTAACCCTTCCTCCGTGGCCAGGTCACGGCTCAGAGCTCAGCCCGGGGGGCAGCCCCGTTGGTCTTGGTTGGGAGGAGGAATGGGGGTGGGGGAGGAGGTCCAGCTCACCCTTCGACCCGCCTCGTTGTTCTGCAGGTTCATAAGCACCCTGCCCTGCTCCTCCGATCCCTTGGCAAAGTTCTTCTCCCGCTCCTGGGCATCCACAAACTCCTTAGCAAACCGGTAGCCGTACTCCACGTTGTCCCCACAGCCGCCCCACAGCCAGTCCCGGGGAAGGTCCTTAGGTCGCGTTGTCCTGCTGCAGCCACAGGTGGACAGCTCACCCTCTCGGCAAGCCCGGCTGATGGCGTTCACCACCCCCGCAGCACTCACGGCATAGGTGAAGGCCGTCTCCCGGCTCCCTGCAAGACAAGGCAAGACAGGTGGTCACCCCTCCCGTGGAGGCTTTCCTTCCCTCTGCCTCCTCCAGACCCGTAACACTCCCAGGAAGGGAAACAGTGGCAGGAGGTAGTGCCTTTCACTCGATAATGAACTGCAAGCTGCCTCCTCTGCCCGCCCTGTGGACATACCAAACAGAGTGATTCCCTCCAGCCCTTGGCTTACACTATCATCCATTCCAGAAGTTTACATAACCAGGGGATTCCCAGGAGGCAGACCTAGGTGCAGTGAGAGTGGACATTGAGGAACTTAGGAAACACATGAGACCAACAGAATGAGACTGAACAGAAATCATGGGACTAATAACAGGACTCTATCCTTACAAACATCTATCCCTCACAAATGCCAATTTTTCACTCTATGAGTCACACATCTGTCTTTTTTCTTATCCTCACCAAGGATATTTTTCCATTGATTTCCAGATAGAGTGGGAGGGAAGGAGTGAGAGAGAGAGAGAAACATCGATGTAAGAGAGACACATCGACTGGCTACCTCCCGCACGACCCAACCAGGTACAGAGCTAGGGATTGAACCACAACCGAAGTACATGCTCTTGACTTGAATTGAACCCATAACTCTTTGGTCCACAGGCTGACGCTCTAATTGCTGAGCCAAACTAGCCAGGGCACATCTGCCTTTTTATTGCTCTACCATTGAGGCCAGGAGTAAGAAGTAAACTAGAATTACACCATCCAAAATCATCCAAGCTGTCTCTTGGTCTTCCATAGGGTCCACACTGCCTCCCAACTCTAGAACACTGGGAACCCCCATCTATGGGACACTCAACAGGGTCTCTCCAAATATCCACATCATTTCTAGTAGAAAAGCTGAACTGTGTTCCTCTATTGTTTCAGTGAACCACTTAAAAACTCACATGATATATGCTCTAATTCAATAAAAACATTTATTAAAAATAATAGTCACCAGGGAAATGCAAATCAATATCACAATGATGTCCAGCCTGTGTGGCTCAGTGGTTGAGCATCAACTCAGGCACCAAGTGGTCACTGATTCGATTCCCAGTCAGGGCACATGCCTGGGTTGTGGGCCCGATCCTCAGTGGGGGGCATGCAGGAGGCGGCCAATCATGTTCTCTTTCATCGATGTTTCTATCTCTCTCTCCCTCTCTCTCTCTAACATCAATAAAGAAAAAAATCACAATGAGACACCACTTCACACGCATGAGGATAGCTATCATCAAAGTGACAACTAACAAGTTGAGGAGGACAGAGAAAAACCGGAACCCTCATGTGCTGCTGGTAGGAACGTTCAATGGTACAGCTGCTTTGAAAACAATGTGGCAGCTCCTCAAATGGTTAAACATAGAATGACCATATGATCCTGCAATTCCACTCCTAAAAATATATCCAAGATAAAGGAAAACATTTGTCTACACAAAAACATACACATGAATGTTCATGGTAGCATTATTCTTAATAGCCAAAAAGTAGAAACAACCCATTTTGTCCCTCAGTGGGTAAATGGGTAAACAAAAGGTGGTATTCCATGGAATGAAATATTATTCGGCCATAGAAAGGAATAAAGTACGGCTACATGCTACAACATGGATGAACCTTGAAATTATCATGCTAAGTGAACCATTCAGCATTTTGTATCTCTACTGAACCTAATTTTTAAAAAAAAAATGCCACATATTGTATGATCCCATTTATATGAAAAGTCCATAATATGAAAATTCATAAAGATACAAAGATTCATGCTTACCTAGGGTTTGGGGAGGAGGAAGGAGAAATGAAGAGTGACCCCTAGTGAGTTTGCAGTTTCTTTTTTTATTAATTTTTTTTTTATATTCTTTCTTTTTTTTTAAATTTCTATTGTATTTTTTTTTTAATCCTCACCCGAGGACATTTTTTTTTAGATATTTTGTTCAGATAGAGTGGGAGGGAGGGAGAGAGAGAAACATCGACATGAAAAGGACACATCGAGTGGCTGCCACCCACACGACCAAACCAGGGCCGGGGACAAACTGCAACCGAGGTACGTGTCCTTAGTGGGAACCGAACCCGGGTCTCTCTGTACCGCAGGCCGACGCTCTAACCGCTGAGCCAAACCAGCCAGGGCGCAAATCAGTTTTTCTTAATTAACCAGGGCTCAGCTTCTGGTCGGGTGTGGACTAGGAGCAGCCCGAGAAAAACCCAGATGATCCAGGAAGTCAGACTCATGATTCAGCCATCAGACTTGACATCTGAGTCAGTGCTGAGCCAGAGACCAGGGTCTATCTGGTCTAGGGGAGTCAGACTATGAGCGTGAGCTCCCAGGACAGGAAGATGGTTAAGGGACTCTTACTCATGTCTGAGAAGTCTTCCTACAGTGGGGCCTCAGCCCCCTGACCTGGCGTCCTGGGGCAGGAAGGAGACTCAAGCTGCAGCCCAGAGCCACACTCCAGCCCCCGGGAGCATTTCTATCACAGCATTCCTCGGACCAGTGGGCTGGGTTCTCAAGGCAACCCATTCCCTCCTTTCTTAATGACTCTAATCACCAGGACAGTCTTGTATTGAGCTGAAACAGGCCTCCCTATAACTTCTGCCTGCTGGAGATACACCATCTGATCCCTTTTCCATATGACAGCCCTTCAGCATTTCAAAACAACTAAGATGCCTTTATGTGTTCTCTTTGCCAAGCTACATATGTCTAATTTCTTCTTCCATTCTTTTTTTTTTTATCCTCACCCAAGGACATTTTTCATTTTTTGTTCAGATAGAGTGGGAGGGAGAGAGAGGAAGAGAGAGAGAGAGAGAAACATCGATGTGAAAGGGACACATCAAGTGGTTGCCACCCGCACGACCAACCAGGTCCGGGGACAAACTGCAACCGAGGTACGCGCCCTTAGCGGGAACCGAACCCGGGTCTCTCGGGACCGCAGGCCAACGCTCTAACCGCTGAGCCAAACTGGCCAGGGCTCTTCTTCCATTCTTTAGCAAACATGTTTTTCAGAGCTGAATCACCCCTCTCAGAATTGCCTTTTAAAATAATGTACCTGCAGCTGAATGTACTATTGCAGACATGCGCTCTGATGGTCCTTGCCCATCAGCATGGTTTGGGATCCCACTCGAGTGAATTAGCTGTCTCTGCGGACATCTGTAGGTCCTGAGAGTAGGTGGCTCTGCCTTCGTGGGCAGCCTCTGGGTCTCTGGTAATCTTGGGAAGCACAGGCTACTAGAGCTACTCTCAGCAAGCAAGAGATTACTTGGGGCTTCCGGACGGATAAGCAAGGTGGAGTGGGGCAGGGTCTCTCTATAGGAAGCAATTCAGAGTGGAAACTGAAACCATCTAAGGAAAAAGGCTATTAAAGCAGCAGCTCCTGGAGATACTGGAGAGACCTTACTCTAGGAGGACAACAGGAGCAGCAGGACAATATCATGCCCTCTCTTCCAGCTGCCAGGAAGGGGCCTCCAGGCTCCTCCGGGTGGAGAGTGGGTGAGGTGCCAGTGGCTCCCTCTGAGCGGCTCTGCTGCCCTTTGGCGGTGGACTCGTGCAGCTGTGTCAGAGAAGGAAGGACCCTTGTGGAAGTCACACACAAGTCAGCAGTGAGAGGCGCCAGAGCTATCTGGACCCAGGGGGAGGAATGGAGGACAGCTTCCCAGGTAGCATAAGCCTGCAGGGAAGCTACAACAAGGAACGGTGAGCATAAGACGAACAGGAGGGTTCCATTTACAGGGTTTTCTTTCATATTCTACCATGCAAACCTGCATCCAGCAGAGCTTCTATTCCTGCCAACGCTTTTCCTTCTAAAGCAAAGCCTCACTTTTGGCCTTCACTCAAACCAAACCACACATGGAAAGGATCTAGCTCACATCAGGCATACATTAGCCTATTCCCTTAACATGATTAGTGCATGCCTCTGTCTATACCTGGGCCACCCTTGTGTCCTCACCAGAAACCCAGGGCAGAGGGTACTGCTGACCAAGACCTTCACCAGGAAGAAGGGACAAATCCTAAGTATATTTGAGAAGAATTGATAAATTATTTCCGAATGCCACTTAACCCTCAAATCCATTCTCTCGAGAAAGTTGCCCAGTAAGGCTGTCATGGGAACACATGATCGTTCCTTTTATGACTCTCGAGTTGACACCGAAGGAAGAGAGAAGCGAGGGTCAAAGCGTACTTTCCCCTGGTCCTTACTTCTCAACGTGGGGCAGGGGGAGGCAGGGGAAAGAGGTCAGGAGAGGGAGGGGCCTTCCAAGTATCCATAACAGAGGAGAACAGAGTCGCAACTCCCATCTCCCCTGCTGCCAAAATCATTCTTCGGGAAAACCCCAGCCTTGGGTAACTCCAGAATGTCTTTTGAGGGGAAGCTGTTCTGAGAGAATGTGAAACAGGGACTTCGTTTTTTTAACACCTTCCTTTTATGGCCCTGGGGATAAGACCCAGTAGAAAAGGGCCGGATTTCTCAATTTCTTGCCAGGGAGAGGAGAATTACATTTCAAAAGGACCTAAAACAATTAGACCCCAGATCACACCTCCATCTAAGCAATAGGGTAGCCAAAGAATCCTAGACCGGGAGTGGGAGAGGGGAGAGAACAGGACTCTGGGAAGTGGCTCTCTCATCTTTCTTCGGTCTGTCCCCTTCCCCCACTCTCTCTCACACACCCCTTTTCAAATGAAAAAGCCAGGACTGGATCTGGGTTGGGTTAATGGCAGCTATCACCAATTTGGCCCAAAGTTTCCTTCCCTCTCAGGGTCCAAGTGGAAGAGGCAAAAAGCCTACAGACATTCAGGGCAAGGCTCTCAAAGGAGGCCCTTGTGCTCAGTGAGACAAAGGGCACTGCTGGTGGGCGGGTTTCCTAATTCACTCTAACTCGACTCAGATGCTCTGAGCCTGTCCCAGTGAGTCACGCAGGCTGCCCCAGACAGAGCGAAGCTGGGAGCAGAGGGCTCGCTGAGCACTGAGCTGTGTGGCTAGCACACCTGAGACTGCTGTCTCTGTGCACCTTCCTCTCCCGTGCAGGCCAATTCCAAGCCTAAGCCTTGAGACACTCAGGGGGGCTCTCTCTGCCCCCGTCCCGAGAGAGCATGCTTGCACCCTGGCCAGGTGAGCACAGCTCCTTCAACCAGGCCCTGCCTGGTGGCCGCTTACCTATCTTCATGACCCTCCCAAAGACAGACGCTTCGTCCACCGTGCTGCAGTTCCACCGCCTCTGCCGGAACTGGTACTGGCACTCCTTGATGCCCGTCTTGGCTCCTTCCCCTATGTAGGCCATGTGCTCCTGGTACAACTGGCACAGCTTTCTCTGGCCAGGGGAGAGCCCAGGAAGCTGGCTGCACACAGGCTGGGCACCGATGATGAACATCTCAGGTCTCTGCACCGGGTTCATAGCCAATGACCTACAGGAGCAATTCAGAAAGGGGAAGGGAGTGAGCACATGCCAGGGTGCAGCGTAGGTCATTCATTCAACACGTTTATCGTGTGCCGTCTGTGAATAAGGCCTGGCACTAAGGGCTAGGAAAGGAACATTGGGGAAACTGAGGCACAAACCCATGACATGTGAGACATGCCTGAGCTTCCGGATCCAGAGTGATCGGATGGGGGAAGAGCTCTTACAGCTGGGGAGAAGCTTTTATAAGGAGATGGCCCGAGTGGGAGCTGGGTCTTAGAGAGTGTGGGGCAAGAGGAGAACGAGACAGAGAGCGCAGGCTACTCATTTGAGGCAGAGGGCAAAAAGAGCCAAACCCCAACAGGAGAGCACATGACTTACTCAGGGATTAGGAGTGACTGGTTCACTTTGGCTCAAGCGCAGGATATGTGATAGAAAGCAGTCAATTCCCTTAAATAGAACTTCCCCTTATGCCTTTAAAACCGAATCCAATTTACACGCATGGCAATATATTCTAAATGTTTTCACTTCCATATCTGACCCGCACATCCCCTAACCCACTCTTATCACTTCAAAAGCCCTTCCTTGAGCTCATCACTCACCAGGCACAATAAAGTGTTGTTAGATGAGACAGCTGTACATTTGCCATCTGAGCAAACTTGTGAGCTGGGCACAGACCGTGCCTCTCATGTTGACTTGGCAATGACAATAGTCTTACAAGCACAAGAAGAAAGCCACACATGGTTCTGCAAACCCTCATCTGGTCTTCAGACTTATGAAATTGGAATTCTTCTCTCCTTGCCCCCACCAGCAAATAACAATAATCATCATAAATCAACATTCTTTTTTTTTTTAATCCTCACCCGAGGACATTTTTGCATTTATCTTCAGATAGAGTGGGAGGGAGAGAGGGAGGAACAGAGAGAGGGAGAAACATCCATGTGAGAGAGACACATCGAGTGGCTGCCACCCACATGACCCCAACCAGGGCCAGGAACAAACTGCAACCGAGGTACGTGCCCTTAGCGGGAACCAAACCTGGGACTCTCTGGTCCGCGGACTGACGCTCTATCCACTGATCCAAACCGGCCAGGGCTAAATCAATATTCTTACCCATGCAATAGCAACAAGAGATATTTTCAACTACCCATAGGGATGGAGGAAGAGCCAGGAAAAGGGGAACGCAGACAGGATCAGAGAAAAAGGGCTGTGCTAGGTTTCCTGGGATAAAAAAGGCCCTTAGGATTCCTACGAATGAAGGAATTATCATGACCCATGGTGACCTGCTCCACATTTCAAGTACCAAAGGAGACATAGGTTGCAGAGTAGGACTCCAGCCCCTCTCACTCACCACCAGGAGCTGGCTTCGGCTGGGAGCTGAGCCCAACTGGAGAGCAGCGCAGCAGCGAACAGCAGCAGGCCGGGCATGGTCGGCCTCAGCCCTCCCCAGGGTCCCAGGAAGAGCCCTGGGACTGCCAGCTTCCAAAACTGGGCTCCCTGAGAAAACAGAAAAGGAGGGAGAATCATTGTGGAAATGCAACAGTTTGGGGACCACCAGGATACAGGGGAGTGAGCTCCGGGGTGCATCGAATGTCACTTTCTCCCAGAGAAATTCAGCCTCTTTCCGACCTCCAGCTCCTCCTGCTCATCTCACATAGAGTTGCCTTGATGTCTCTTACCCCAAACTGTGAAGACCCCACTCGAGGCCTAATTCGGAAGGAAACAATGAGCTGAGACACTAGGCGAGAGAAGTGAGAACAGGGCACTTCAAGGGCAGAGCGCCTTGGCAGCCGTCAGGAGGACCTGAGGCTCTGCAGCGCACACCTGCCCGACCGGACGCCAGGGCCCCGCCGCCCTTCCCTCCACCTGTCAGCCAGCCGAGGTGGCTCTCTGACCACCAGGCTCCCTTTTGTGAGGCTGGAAAAAACAACTGGTGAGTTGGCTCCACCTACAGCCAAACAAGTTTCCCTCTCAATCTGTAACCTTCTCACGCTGAACAAGTGTTCCAAATCCCGACCTGTTTACCAGGAATAACAGCGAGAACGCGGGGACTTTGCACTTTCTCAAGCAGCTTCTCTGAGAGATGGAAAAGCCTAGGTCAACCCGCGGGAGAGCTCTGGAGGCCGGGTGGCCCTCATGCCCTCCCCTGTGCTCAGGGGCCCTGGGTCCCAGCAGCGCCCACAGCAGTGGGGGCACCTCCAGCTCCTCAGCTGCAGCCCTGGTCTCAGCGTCCGGCTGAGCAGCAACCCCTTCCCTGGTAGCCCAGAGCCACCCGCATCTTCGCCTCCAGTATCTTTGCCTCCAGCAACGACCGCCTACGCCTCCATCCCCAGCGAACTCCCCCTGGGGTCCTTGAAAACACAGAGAATCCAGCTTCTGGATCCTGGAGGAGTCTGTAAAAATAGTCGCTCCGGCTCACCCTCACCTCGTTTCTCCCTTCGCTTCCATCCAGCCTGACCCCTCGGTTCCAGCGAGCCTCCTCCCAGTCCCCTTTACACCGCCAACCTTGCACACACGCTCGCGCGCTCCCACACCCCACCCCCATCTCACCGCGCAGTTCTGGGGCGCCGGGCTCTCCGGGAGGGGGCGGCAGGTGCTTTGGGTCATCAACCTGGCAGATATTTTTTTGTCCTGGGGCCACCAAGAGAGGAAGGTGGCCTGAGCAAGATCCAGGGAAACTGGCCACAGCCTGTCCCCACCCCCTTTTGGTTTTTCTCCGTGAGGTCTTAGCTGGGGCCAGGGCATCAACAGGCAGGTGTGTAGGGTCGGCAAGGGGCAGATCAAAGAAGAAACTTGCTCCTTCCCCTTTGTCATGCAGAGCTAGCTCGGAAATGATCCGGTCTCTAGCCCGGCGGACTAACAGCTCCCCACACTCTACTTCCCTAACAGACCTCCCCTCCTCTGAAGGATGCCCCCTCCCCCTCTAACCTCTACCCCCATAAATCCTCCCCATCCCTCAGGGCAGGAGGTCTGTGAATGCACCGACTGGAACCAAGAGAGATGGAGCAGAGATAGGGCTGGCACCAGAAGCTAATGGCTTTATGGAGGGGAGGGGACCAGGTCCAGAGTAGGGAGGATGAGAGAAAAGCTTCAAAGAGTCTCCTTGTCCAAACATCCTCAGCTCCACCTACCAGTCCTTTTTGGGGACTCAAGAGTCAGAGCTGCGCCTCCTCCCTCCCACCACCTGGCCATCCCCACCACCGTGCTCCTGCAAAACCCCCATCCCGCCGACACACACCCTCACACATTTCCATGCTAGATAGCTTGAGTTCTTTCTCCAGCTGGTGACACTTCTTATCCCCACGGATTCCCCCGTCACACCAGTGTCTCTCACTTCTGTCACACCCTTTCATCAGGCCCCTGTGAAATCTCTCTGGCTCTGCAAGTCCTAGGTGCAACCGGGCCTCACTGGGGGCCACTGTTTCTGAGCCAAGGATAGGAGTCAGTGCCAGCTAACGGTCACTGTGGCTTTGACACCCCAGTGCCAGGCTGACAGGAGAGCTAAGGCCAACCTTCCCAAGACCTGCTAACCCCGCCCCTCTGTGCTTCATAAACATAAACTGAGACAGGATCACCCCCGCAGCCTTTCCTACCAACTTGTGTTTTCCATCGAACCCTCAGCTCATTAAAAAATATTTTTAATAGCTTAAAAAAGAAAAAAGAAAAAAAAAGACTGTAGCACGTGTGGTGGCTTCTTTCTCTGCCTTCCAGATGTGCGCCACCCCTCTGAGTGGTCACAGAACCACTGCCCTGTTTACATTCTTTGATTTCCTCAGGCAGGGCGGAGAGGGGAAAGTTGGTGACTGGTTTCACTGGTGTGGGCAGAATGGAGCTTCTCCCCTTGGCGGGACGGGGGAGGAAGGAAACTGTGGGGACCAATGGTTTGTTCCTAATGAGGAGGACACATCAGAAGCCTGTTTGTGGTCACTGGTGAGTTTTACAGCAGGTCTCAACCAGGGCAGACTGTTCCTTGGGTAGGAAGAAAGACAGGGTGAATTCTTTTTGCTGACTTTATAATAACTAGAGATTTACCCCCAAAACCAGTTTCCCTTTCCTGTGAGAGGTGTCATCTCAGACACTCCAAACACAGTGAAGTATGAGAAAATCCAGGGTCTCTTGTCTGGTAGTGACCGGGAGGTGGCAGGGACAGGAGGTGCAACGTTCTCCATCAGAACCCTCCAGGGGGCCCGGATGGGCGGGTCAGACACATCTGCTCTGCTTCTTCATTCAGTCATTCAGGCGTCCAATATGTTCATTAATCCACCACCTCATATGTCCTCATATGTCCCAGTTACTGCTAAGCGCCACAGACACGGCAATGAACAAGTATATATAAAAGTGATCCTTGAACAAAGCAGGGTACAGGGGCGCCAACACCCTGACTCTCCCAAAAATTAACTACTGAAAGCCTACTACTTACCAGAAGTCTTACCAAGAACATAGTCAATTAACATATATTTTGCATGTTACATGTACTATATACTGAATTCTTACAATAAAATAAGCTAGAGGGGGAAAAATGCTATTAAAATCATAAGGAAGAGAAAATACATTTACAGTATTTACTGAAAAAAAAAAAATCTGCCCTGGCCAGTTTGGGTCAGCGGTTAGAGCATCAGCCTGCGGACCAAAGGGTGGCAGGTTCGATTCCCGATCAAGGGCATGTACCTGGCTTGCAGGTTTGATCTCTTGCCCTGGTGAGGGTCATGCAGGAGGCAACTAATCAATGTGTCTCTCTCACACTGATGTTTCTCTCTCTCTCCCCTACTTCCACTCTATCTAAAAAGCAATGAAAAAATATCCTTGGGTGAGGATTAAAAAAAAAAAAATCTGTGTATAAATGGACCAGTACAGTTCAAACCTGTATTTTTCAGGGGTCAACTGTACATAATATGTTAGGTCCAGTGAATACTATGAGAAAAAATCAAGTGGGGACTGGAATCAAGAATAAGGGGTGATATGCCCTGGCTGGTGTTGCTCAGTAGTTAGAGCATCAGCCCATGCACAGAAGGGTTGCAGGTTCAGTTCCTGGCCCTGGTCAGAGTGCGTGCAGGAGGCAACTGATTAATGTGCCTCTTTCACATCGATGTTTCTCTCTCTCTCTCCCCCGCCTCCCTCCCTTCCATTCTCTCTAAAAATCAATGGAAAAAAATATCCTCAGGTGAGGATTAACAACAACAACAACAAAAAGAATAAAGGGTGATAAGCCAGTCAGAGAAAGACAAATACCATATGATTTCACTTATATGTGGAATCTAATGAACAAAACAAACAAAATAGAAACAGAGTAGAGTCATAGATACAGAAAACAGACTGATAGCTGTTAGGGGGGGAGCGGGGTTTCAGGGCTGGGTGAAAAAGGTGAAGGAAAAAAGGAGAAGGAAAAAACCCCAAACTCAAAGACACAGACAACAGTATATTGATTACCCGAGGGAAAGCGGGGTGGGGGAGGTAGAATAGGGGTATGTGGGGATAAATGGTGATGGGAGGAGACTTGACTTGGGGTGATGAACATATAACACAGTGTACAGACAATGTATTATAGAATTGTGTACCTGAAACCTATATGATTTTATCAACCAGTGTGACCCCAATAAGTTCAATAAAATGTTTTAAAAAGAATAAGGGGTGAGCCCAGGCCGGTTTGGCTCAGCGGTTAGAGCATCGGCCCGCAAACGGGGGCATCTGGATTTGATTCCTGCTAAGGGCATGTACCTCGGTTGCAGTTTGTCCCTGGCCCTGGCTGGGGTCGTGTGGGTGGCAACTAATCGATGTGTCTCTCTCATGTCGATGTTTCTCTTTCTCTCTTCTTCCCTTTCTCTCTCCCGCTCTATCTGAAGATAAATGCAAAAAATATATATCCTCGAATGAGGATTAAAAAAAAAAAGAATTAGGAGTGCATTATTTAGGGTCTTTGGAGAAAGCTACATTTGGACATATCTGCCCACCCTACCTCTCCAAACCACTATGTAGATGGCAGGCAGCAGGGGTGTAACCCTGCGGCACATCCCAGACCCCTCAGTGGCACGTCCAAGGTCCTTACTGAGACTGCACCACCCTGCTCTACCACCACAAAGGGGTGGATGTTTGAAAATAGGAACTCCAGGTTGTCTTCCTTTTTCTGGTTGGACTCAGTTACCTATTTTCATTTCCTTAGGGGCCTGCAGCCATCCAGCCCAGAGACAGGAGACCAAGGAGAGAGACTCGGACAGTGAAGCTGAGATCCCAGCAAATCTGTCCTTCAAGAGGTATCCCTGCACTTTTTACATACACTTCAGACTGTGCCTGTCATGAAAACCTCAACTCACAGGACAAGGGCTTGAAAAGGTGATCAGCTGCTCTGCTCACAAAAAGCACCACTGGGTGTTCAGGACTCAAGCAGTGAATGAGTCACACAGACAAGGCTGTCCCATCCCACACCTGTCCCCCTGCCCCAGACAGGCACCCTCACACCTAGAAATCTACCAAGAAA